GGCTACCTTTTGACTTTCGCTGGCATCGCTCGTCGCCATTGTCTCTGTCTCTGTTTATAGTAGTAGTTACCGTCAGTGGAGACAGGTGCAGTGAGACAGCGGAGCAGGGCATCCGCCCACCAGCTAATCATCATCAGCACCCTGCTCTCTCCCGGCAGCTGATGTGTGGCTGTCAGAAAGCCTGACACCGCTGCGCTTCATTCAACCAAATTGTAGTAACGCAAGTAACGCGCCACTTTACATTCTCAGTAACGGTAACGGCGTTGCAACGATGGGAAAAGTAATTAATTAGATTACTCCGTTACTGAAAAAGTAACGCTGTTAGTAACGCTGTTATACTTAAACGCCGTTACTCCCAACACTGTTTGCAACAGACTTAGCGATCTCGCCGAATCAGGTACTCAACATGGCGGCAGACAAGTTAGAATGTGAGTGACGTCAGGTGATATTCATGAATACACACCCATTCATTTTTTGGCCCGGTTTTTGGCGATTTATCGGCAAACCGTTTGGCGAAACGCTTAGAAAAGTCATAGCACTAATGTCCCGGTCAAGAACTGCGGGAGGAGTAGTCGACCGAAAAAAGACACGGAAGAATAATAATAAATATTGGGAATAATAGATAGTGTGCTTTCAGGCACACTCAACTAAACTATGCACAAAGAGTAAGGACATTTGTGTCAATGCTAAACAGCTTTTCTTTGCTGTTTGGTGTTGTTTGGTGGATTGGATGATTGAAGTTTGAAGAAACAAGACATATTGGCAATTTAACAATTTATTCATTTCACAAACAGGAGCCTCAGTAGCATGTGGAAGAACCATACACAGCCACAACAGCCTGGCACCTCCTCCTCATGCTGGTCACCAGCCTCTCATTCTTCAACCAGCATTTGTCGCAAGTCAGCCAACGTGGTTGTGTTGGTCACTTTGGCACGAACAGCACGCCCAAGCTGATCTCACAAGTGTTCAATGGGGTTGAGGTCAAGACTGCTGGCCAGCCATTCCATCCCCTCCACTCCTAAATACTGGAGGTAGTCTCTGATAAACCCCGCCCTGTGGGGGTGAGCATTGTCATCTTGGAGGATAGAGTAGACTGTGGAGATATGGGATTGCCACTGGTTGCAGAATCTCATCTCTATATCTCTCTGCATTGAGATTGCCTCCAATGATGACCAGCCTTGTTTTGTCACCTGATTTTCAGCACTTAGGGGTACCAGAATCTCAAAACAAGAGTCAATAGCAACAGCAAAGAAAAGCTGTTTGGCATTGGCAGAGAAGATTTGGCACATTTTTCATGGGTGCAACCCACATACTCACCTCTGCTGCTCATCCCACAAATGCGTGTGCCTTACAATTGTGGCACCATTTAAAAGGGAATATATAATATTATTTATACCAATATAGAAAATAAACAGGCTTTCCAATGGTATAAAATCTATTGCCAAGAAGCATTGTTACAACAAAGAAATAATCTACCAAACACAAATTTCCTTACTTTTTGTGTGTAGTATATATTGTATTAAAAATAAATAAATAAATAAATAAGGAGGAACATGCCAACACTGTCCACATGCTGATACAGATCCTGCATGAGCAGGAAGTAGTTCAGCAGCGCGCTGACATCACTGAGCCCCAGGTCAACAAGCTGAGAGCCAAGAGCTGTGATGTTGGAAAGGTATCTTTGTTATTTGCATGATCATTAAATCAATTGTGTTGACATTAGAAGTCAGTACAATGATTTTATGCTGTGCACTTTCAGTGGTGACAGTGTAATAGTATCCAAATCATTCAAATTTAAATTTCAAATTTAAAAGAGAAACTGACTTACTTGACTGCTATGCTAATTGATTAGCCCCCCCCATTTAGTCCGAGTCTTTAAAGAAAGTGTAAAGCTGCACAACCTTAGATTTGCAGTATAGTGCATGTACAATACCTTGAGAGGTTTTAATAGTTATTTGTAGAACACTGTAAAACCATCATAAAAACTCCATCATCTATGCAATAAACTATTTTGGGATGTCACAGGCAACAAACAGATAAAGGTTGCCAAGTCATGGAAGTCTTTGCATTGTGTCTCCTGGAAGAAATTAAACCTTAACTTGGCATCTTGGAGCAGAATGAAGTCTTCAGGGGATTTCTTTCCATAGCAGAATCCCAAATGTCACCTTTTTACTCAAATTATATTTAGATTTGATGAGCATCCAGGTTTGAGGCAATATAGAATCCTATTACAAACATACTAAACTTGCTAGATTTCTCTAAGTATCTCTCACTCTCTCACTCTCTTACACACACACACACACAGACACAAACACACACGCAGTACTGCACCAGTAATATAGCAAAACATCCATTCTTAGATTTATAAAAAATCAATTATACTGCAATATACTGATGTAATCCGATCAGGAGCAAAGAAGCTATAAAGAGTGATGGAAATACTTGTGTTGATCACTTGGACACTTTCAGTCCTAACACCATCTGCTTATATCAGTATGTGTCCTAAGAGCCAACTCAAAAGAAGTCAACACAAGTTCACCAACTTTGTAAAATGGGTTATGTGTTTCCATGTTTATATGTTTTCTGTAGTTTACCAGTTTGACAAAAAAATGGCAAAATGGAGCCCTCAATGTTAGCCAGGGTATTCATCATAGTTCTTCAACAGATGTCACCACCTTAGTTTCAAATGTAGAAACTTGATGAAGTTCATTTTGCCTTGTGTGGAATTGAATTTATTTTGGGCCTGATCTCAAATGAGTTGCCAACTGTGTTTCCTGCTCGCATTTAGGGAATTATCTAACAGAAGGATTGAACTTATTGCATAGTGTTCTCATTTTAATTACAGAAATCAGATGTGCCATGTTCCTGCCTAATTGCTAGACACAAACATGTTGGTGATAATCTAAACCTAAGCTCCTGATGCATTGTGTACATGGCACAAGGAAACAGTATGTAATGTAAACATTAATAGGTGCTCTGAATCTTTATTTAAAAAATTCAAATGGAGCCCAAACACAGCCTATAGCCTAACATTCAATGGTGCACCATAATTAGTACAAGCTCTACATATTTTATAATAAAGATAAATATTATTATGTAATGTACCATGTGGACCAACTGTTATAAGGTAAATTTAGGGGTGAACTTTATTTAATTTCAGAGACCTTGAATGTGTAAGTGTCTTGCAATTGAATACCAGTGGAATTTGGAAGACTTTCCACACCAACCCCACCAAGCTGCCCATGAATTTGCCAACCTCTTTAACTTACTTTAACTCAACAACAATTGTGATTGGAATCGTACACAAACCATATTTTGCACTATTAAATGAATGATCAAATTTGGCAATCAATTCCATGCCTGCACTTGGAGGCCAATATTTTGAGCAACAAGCTTGTAACTCACTAAGATAATGTAGGGCAGAAAAGCACCTCCTTCTTTCTCTTTAAATAATTTGACATTGAGGCTTCATTTAGCAGACCCTTGAGCCTTATTTGGTGTACTGAAGTGTTTTTATGTTTGAACACAGCAACTTGTGAAAGTGCCTTTTAGCACCTCTTTGTTTTGTACTGCAATTCTTCTTTTGTGACTGTAGAGAGATTGTGTTCATAGGTGACATGGCTTGTGAAAGCATTAATCCATTTTTTAAATTTAAACACCCACATTGTGTTACATTAAAATTAAATCAAATCAATTGGTATAACATCACAAATATCCTGTGTTTTTTAAATTGAAGTCACAAATAATTATACATAGTACCTTCTTGAACATCACTGCCACAAAATAAGCAACAAGGTGAAAAGAGACCATGACCAAATTGAGCGAGAGACTACTGCTGACCATGCTCTCCCACCCTCTATAAAAGAGGCAACACAGGACTTCTGTTCAAACTGATAGGCTCCAACACAGGTGAGTATATTCTTAGTGACCTCAGTTTTTACTCTTGCTGATTAGTTGGTAAAGTTAATGTGTTGCTCATTACTTATGCATATTGTCCACAATTCTTTGACAGTTACCTTGGTAGTAGTCTTGAGTGGACAATGATATTAAAAAAACATTTTTCTTGATATACTCTTGACACATTTAAGAAGTAGTTTTTTTATTCTTCTAAAAAAATATAATATAAAATAAAAACCACACACAATTAGTTTGTACTGACATCTAATACACACGCTGTGTCATCACACATATACACTTAATGATCATTAAAATCAAGGCTATTTCATTGGTTTGGGGGCAGTTGAGGGGATTGGAGAGTACTGAACTTTAATGATTCAGAGTCGTGAGCATATATTATTCAAGCCTGAAGACATGTAGCTATCTTTACCCTCTAATGCTCTCAAATTTAAATAATAAAAAGCTGAAACAAGTTACTGTACTTCTTTTTATAGCATCTTGCCACCCACAGAGGCCACCACTCATTCTCTTTTGGAACAAGCTGAGGTAAAGATGTTGCCATAAAAAAAATGAAATCTCCACCATCAGCTATATCATGTTGATATGTTAACACTATTGTGGATTCTGTATCTTTTCAGTCTCCCCTGAAGTGCCACCATGAGTACAGATGCGGAGATGGAGGCCTATGGCCCAGCCGCCATATATCTCCGGAAGCCAGAGAGGGAGAGGCTTGAGGCACAAACTGCTCCGTTTGATGCCAAATCTTCCTTTTTTGTGGTTGATGAAGCTGAGATGTACCTCAAGGGTAAACTGGTAAAGAGAGAGGGTGGCAAAGCCACAGTGGAGACGGACACTGGAAAGGTACATTACTCATTATTTTATTTTTCTCTAATAAAACTACCCAATCAATTTCCATCTTCTGTATAGGAGGATATCATTAAAACAATATCTTAGTACAACATTTAGTGAAGTATCTGTTTATGATTGTATTTTAAGATGATTATTCAAGATGACACTGTAAACAACAATGGCATCCATCTGATAAACCTTTTTATTTGAAATGATTTCTTAGTAAAGACGTTAAACTATATTTCATACTCAGACGGTCACTGTAAAAGAGGATGACATCCATCCAAGGAACCCTCCAAAGTTTGACAAAATTGAGGACATGGCCATGATGACCCACCTCAATGAGCCTTGCGTGCTGTATAACCTCAAAGAGCGTTATGCATCATGGATGATCTACGTGAGTTTCTACTATACAATAAAAATTCAATGTGTATATACATATGTAGATATATATATATCTAAATGGTAACACAATATTCATGCTCTCTATTACAGACCTACTCTGGGTTGTTTTGCGTTGTTGTGAATCCGTACAAGTGGCTTCCTGTGTATGATGCGGTAGTTGTGGGAGCATACAGAGGCAAGAAGAGGAATTGAGGCACCACCCCACATTCTTTCTCCATCTCTGACAATGCCTATCAGGCCATGCACACTGGTAAGACCAAAGTTACTAATGTTAGAGTGTATGTATACATAAGGTGAATTTACCTTAAACAAAAACTTATTGAAACAACAAAAATGGAACTTGTGAAGAATGTATGTTTGTTTATTTCAGATCGTGAAAACCAGTCTGTCCTGATTCGTGAGTATAACACAAACTGTTGCCTGCAAAAATCTTCCATAACCTTTATTGATAACGAAGCCGAATCTTCATAATTGTGTCTCTCATACCCCAGTGGAGAATCTGGTGCTGGAAAGACTGTGAACACCAAGCGTGTCATCCAGTACTTTGCAACAATTGCAGCTATTGGTTCTAAGAAGGCTGAGCCAATACCTGGCAAGATGCAGGTAAAATTGGTTGTTTGAGATAGTGTTTGTCAGAGAAAAGTTAATTTGATGTTATAGCTCATGTAACTAAAATTTTCTCTTGCAGGGCTCCCTTGAGGACCAGATTGTTGCAGCCAACCCTCTGTTGGAGTCCTATGGTAATGCCAAGACCGTGAGGAATGACAACTCCTCTCGTTTTGTAAGTAATAGTGGGAATATCTTTTTTTTTTTTGTCACTAAATTACAAAAACTGATGTTGTTAATAATCTGATTGTCCAGGGTAAATTCATCAGGATCCACTTTGGCTCTAGTGGCAAGCTGGCTTCAGCTGATATTGAAACATGTAAGTTTCAACAATGGTGTGAGTCTAGATTTATCTGGACTGAAAGCTGGTCTCTTATAATGTTATACATTATAATAATAAAGTAATCTTAAAGTTGTCAAATCAATTTGTTTATCTTAGATCTGCTGGAGAAGTCCCGCGTCACCTTCCAGTTGTCTGCTGAGAGGAGCTACCATATTTTCTATCAGTTGATGACTGGTCACAAGCCTGAGATCCTAGGTATGTTACTACACAAGTTTAAAAGAGAAATTCAAACAATATCAGCAAAAACACAAAACAACACTGTTTTTCTATTGTCCTTTTATAGAGTGTCTCCTGATCACCACCAACCCCTATGACTACCCAATGATCAGTCAGGGTGAAATCACTGTCAAAAGCATTAATGATGTGGAGGAGTTTGATGCAACTGATGTAAGACAACAATTTAAATTGATAGTATATTGGGCAAAATGTTTCACTTACCAATAACTTTTCTTCATTTAAATTGCAGGCTGCAATTGACATCTTGGGCTTCACTGCTGAGGAGAAGATGGGCATCTACAAGCTGACTGGAGCTGTGCTCCACCATGGTAACATGAAGTTCAAGCAGAAGCAGCGTGAGGAGCAGGCTGAGCCAGATGGCACTGAGGGTAATTGCTAAAAATGTACATTCTGATAATCCAAGTTTTCTGGTTTGTCAAAAACTGCAAGAGTTAATGTGTATTTAGTACTTGTTCTGTTTCTCTCCATAAGTCGCTGATAAAATCGCCTACCTCTTGGGCCTGAACTCAGCTGATATGCTGAAATGTCTGTGCTACCCAAGAGTCAAGGTCGGAAACGAGATGGTGACCAAAGGTCAGACCGTGCCACAGGTAATAAAAAGAAAATTAGATTTTTGGAAAATTAGGGAAACATTTTCATTTTGATAAGAAAGTATTCTGAGAAATCTGAACACTAAAATACTTATTTCTAGGTCAACAATTCTGTCAGTGCTCTGTGCAAGTCTGTGCTATGAGAAAATGTTCTTGTGGATGGTCGTTCGTATTAATGAGATGTTGGACACAAAGCAGGCAAGACAGTTCTATATTGGAGTGTTGGATATCGCTGGATTTGAGATCTTTTGATGTGAGTTATTGAAACAATATATAAGCAGTATTAAAGTTCAACCTTATTTTACCATGAAATTATAAATACCTTTTTGTAATTACAGTACAACAGTTTAGAGCAACTCTGCATCAACTTCACCAATGAGAAACTACAACAGTTTTTCAACACATATGTTGTTCTGGAGCAAGAGGAATACAAGAAAGAAGGTATCGAATTGGGATTCATTGACTTCGGTAATGGACTTGGCTGCCTGCATTGAGCTTATTGAGCAAAAGGGGGGGTAACAAAAGTAACCACTCCTGGTACACGTGATTTCTTTAGTCATGTGTAAATGATGCTTTCCTCAGTTTAAATTTTAATATGACATGTAAATCTTCTCAAGCCCAATGGGCATCTTCTCCATCCTTGAAGAGGAGTGCATGTTCCCCAAGTCCTCTGACCACAACTTTCAAGAACAAAGCTGCATGACCAGCATCTGTGGCAAGACCAAGGCCGTATGAGAAGCCAAAAGCCTGGAAAGGGCAAGGCTGAACTCACTTCTCCCTGGTTCATTATGCTGGTACAGTGGACTACAATATCTCTGGCTGGCTGGAAAAGAACAAGGACCCCCTGAATGACTCAGTCGTTCAGCTCTACCAGAAGGCTTCCAACAAACTTCTGTCTATGTTGTATGCAGTTCATGCTGGAGCTGAAGGTAAGAAATGAGCAGAGAAGAGTCTACAGACACTCAGCATATACGGTACAGATGTTTTTACCTGCTAAACTATTTTCTGCTATTAAAGATATTGAGCAACATTGTCCTTTATTTATTATTATTATTATTTATTAGCTATATAGGCACAGTGCAGTAAATTTGTAGTGAAGGGAAGAAACTTTAACTGGGCTTAGGTAGAAGCTAATGACAACATGACAACAACATGAAAACTTAAAGCACTTATTACAGTGTTATTTATTCAGTCCTGTTAATGAAATCAAATTATTTTGCAAAACAGAGCCAAGCAAGAAGGCTGGAAAGAAGAAGGGTGGTTCCTTCCAGACTGTGTCTGCTCTTTTCAGGGTATGTATTGTTTCATATTTTTGATAACAACCCTCCCAAAAAAAAAAAAAAAAATACCTCAGATTAAAATACTGATTACCCGTTACCTTGTGTTGCTGATCCACAGGAGAACTTGGGAAAGCTGATGACCAACTTGAGGAGCACTCACCCTCATTTTGTCCGCTGCCTTATTCCTAATGAATCAAAGACTCCAGGTAAGAAGCACATTACCCAGTTTTGCGCACTATGTGTAAAAATATAGTGTAAGGAAATGTTTTAATACAATCAGTTTGCATTGTGCAGGTCTTATGGAGAACTTCTTGGTCATCCACCAGCTGAGGTGTAACGGTGTACTGGAGGGCATTAGAATCTGCAGAAAGGGTTTCCCCAGCAGAATCCTCTACGCTGACTTCAAGCAGAGGTTACTTTTTTATATTAATTGAAGTTATTATGATGTGAAACAGCAGGCTTAGAAGTGAGGTAAATATAAGTAACATCATTTTCTCTTGTAGATACAAAGTATTGAATGCCAGTGTTATCCCTGAGGGACAGTTCATTGACAACAAGAAAGCTTCAGAGAAGCTGCTGGGCTCCATTGATGTGGACCACACTCAGTATAAGTTTGGGCACACAAAGGTACATTTCTAAGGACAATATCAATAACTGTGGCATGTATATGTCCTGTTTTATCCACATATATTGATGACTGATTTTCTTTACTCGTCAAAATAGGTGTTTTTCAAAGCTGGTCTGCTGGGTACCCTGGAGGAGATGAGGGATGAGAAACTAGCTGCACTGGTGACGATGACTCAAGGTCTCTGCAGAGGTTATGTCATGAGGAAGGAGTTTGTTAAGATGATGGAGAGGAGGTAGGATTCTCATACAGTACACTAAGCTGAACTGTCCAGTTATATAGTTCCCATATGTTTTTGTTAAATTGTTATCCACAGCAGTTCTAAAAGCTCACATTTCAGTAGAAATTACACTATGGTTATCTATCTCACTTTCCAGAGAATCTGTCTATACCATCCAGTACAATGTCCGCTCATTCATGAATGTGAAGAACTGGCCATGGCTGAAACTGTACTTCAAGATCAAGCCTCTTCTGCAGAGTGCTGAAACTGAGAAGGAGCTCCAGCAGATGAAGGAGAACTATGATAAGATGAAAACAGACCTAGCTGCTGCTTTGGCCAAGAAGAAGGAACTGGAGGAGAAGATGGTTTCCCTGATGCAGGAAAAGAATGACCTGCAACTGCAAGTGGCAGCAGTAAGTAGAGACCAAAAGAAAGTGTTATTCTGTCACATAAACACTTCACTAATGGAACACTGTTGCTTACATTTACATATATCTAGTTGGGATAAGAAGTCTTCTTATTGTCTATGTGCCATAGCAAAGTTGTAGATCAACTAAAAGGGCAATTCACTAAAACGAATGAATATTTAAATCTTTAACTAAGAAAATAAACTAACAAACTTATTGTATATTCAAAATGTACTATAGGAAGTTGAGAGTCTGGGTGATGCTGAGGAAAGATGTGAGGGGCTCATTAAGAGCAAGATCCAG